TTCTGGGTAGACATGTTTCACACAACAGTTTTCAATTAATGCTGAGCATTCACTTAATAATTTTAATCATAATTTGAATCCATGATTAATGGATTAATAATTTATTCACTAATTCAGATGCCATAAGAGAATCAGTGAAAGGAATAATCTGATAGTTGCTCATTGTACAACCCTATCCATTAGTAATACTAAGCCGAGAATCTGATTGCTATTCCACTCTGTCGAATTACACATTTCCGTGTGTGTGACTTTGGTCAACAACAAAAAAATCGATACACAATGTCATGCTTTTTCCTTTTTTTTTTTTTAACAAGCAGCTCAATGTTTTGGGAGGTTGGTTAGTACAATATAGAGAACATAGGGAGAAAGTATAAAACGGCACTGAACACCAATGCCAATACTTATCTCATTATGGTTATAACAAAGGATATTAATGTTTGTCTAATTTGCTTTTCTTTAGAACATAAATCAACGCCATCAACTTGAGGTGTATACAAAATACACACACAACCTTAACCAAAATACTTTCCATAAGTAACACTACATTTTAAAAGACTGAAAACTGAGTATCTGTGCTGATTTGTATTTTGACTTAACGGAACAAGAAAACAACATTCAACTAGGGAGGGTTATACTGATAATAAAGCTCTGAAAATTCAAAATGTCTTCCTCTCCCTTTGTACTTACCACAGGCTACACAACGCCCTGAGAGGATTCGTTATGAGAAAAATATCATGGCTTTAATAACTTACTTTGGAAAAACTAATGAGAAAGCAAACTGGAAGGTGAGACTTAATCTTTGCTTTTTTTTTTTTGATTTTGAAAAAACCTGATTTTTTCTGAATCAAAAAGAAGTATTTCATGTTAAATTTAGACTGTTTAGCTTTCCACTATTCTCAAGATACTTTCCAGATATTAAGAGTACTCAGAACTGTATAAAAGTGAACAACCAATACCATGTTTGAAAGAAAAAAGTTTAAATGTTAAGACTAATGTCTTGGGGACATTACTAAATATATTTCTAAGAAACCCTTCTCAAAGGTCAAAATACTGGCAATTCTAATTTAAAAATTTAGAATTTTCAATTATTGGAAATTTAAGTAACAATAGTTTCAAGGGCTAAGAATCAGATTGCTTTTGAAAACAGAATTTTTTTTTTTTCCTGAGGGATTCATACTTGACAACAACTCCAGTTAAACCTAGTACTCCACCCAAATACCAAATTCAAATGCATGATTTCACCTTGGAATAGTAACATTATAAAATGGAATTTATAAATTATAACATATATACATAACACACCATTTTAACTGTCATGTTTACAGGCAGAATTATGAAATCAAAAACAAATTCTACATTCAAGAGACAAATGATAAATGCTCTTTAAGAGTCCATTCCATCCTTTGTTGTCTTCTACTCCCACACTGTCAAATTATGACCAAAGGACCAAAGGCCAAGTCAATCCCCAAGTCAATCCCATTTCCCTGAACCCAACTGCCAGTAGGTACTGACCCTACATACGCATCCCTTTAACAAGCCCCGTTCTCAAAAGGCTGGGGGTATTTATTTAAGAACTTATTCCAAATTGACTCTAAAATCCACATTCCCAAGATCTAGTGTGGGCTATTCATGTGTTCTGAGACATCTCCAACATGCAGACAAACTTATCTGTTCACACTGAGGTAAAACAGACAAAAAAACACAATATTAACAGAAGCTACAAAATTAAAACTAATCTTTTACTGCTTATTTAAGCGAATTATGTATTCTTACAAAACAGAGATCCTCAGGTCAATAATTTGATTTTAGTAACCCCAAATTAAGCCTCTTCTTTCAAAGCCATTATTAGTTTAAAAACATTTCTTTAAAAGAAAAAAAATATTTTTTTCTGGAACCTGTGTTTTGTAATTAGTGTGATGCAATTTCTTTTTATTTTTCAAACTTAGAAATAACTCATGAGAGTACTACTTGATATTTTTTTCAGATACCAAGAAATACCAACAGAATTCATAAATAGGATTTTCTGACACTGGCAGGAAGGTCTGCTAACATTTACAAAATACCAAAGACTCCTCTTTCAAACTTCAAAGATGGCTGAGAATTAACAGTTATGATTAGTTTTTCAGTACAAATTAAAAATTTAAATCTTGATTTTTTTTTGGCCAACATTTTAAATTTCACTCCAGGTTTCAAATCAAAACAAACAAACAAAAAAACTAATGAAAATTACTCAACTAGCAACAAGTCCCGTATTCCAATGTTATTTTCAAACCAATTATAACCTCCTGCCAGTAACTACTTGAAAGTACCTGCTTCTTTTATTAAGCACTGGTCAGTTACATAAAAGAATAATTTGCAAGGATGATACCTGGCAATGGGTTACCTTAATGCTTATGGAATAAACAGAAGCATTAACAAAACACCAGATCTTAAGCACTTTTAAACCTGTAATTTGAATTGCCAAAAGGATTTTTAAGTGTTACTTTTCCATTAGTAGATTGTAGGGAGTCTAGTCCCAGCTAACATGGTTGATTTTAAAATACAAATCCCTAAGCCACATAGTAACGGAATACTACACTTGTGCTTTTTATATCATATGGAAACAGCTCCAGGCGGAGCACAAGAAGAAAACCTGTCAAATCAAAGTACAGTAAATAAAGTTCCTCTATGCACTCCAGTGAGAAAACCTAAAAAATCAGAAGACCATCCACTGTCACCCATCCCCAACAAAAAATCACCCCAAAACACTTTAGCTTTGAACCTAAAATTTCCCTAAGATGTTCACAGGAAAAGCTTTAAGGTACTTAAAGCCGCAGCAGTACAGTTGAAAGCGCCACACTACAGAGGAAATGCCCTAAAGGGTTCAGCAGCTGCCCACCCATCCCGAACCACCCCCCACATCCCAGTAATATGTAAAAGCTCCTGTTAAAAGATTTTTTCTTATGGTAATAAAGGCATACTACCTAGTGTGCTAAAGATTACAACTAGCAACATTAGAGCAGTAAAGTGAAAATAGGAAGCCTACAGGGATGATCTAAATGCCTACTTAAAAGAAACAAGGACAGGATCCTAGCCCTCTTGTCTATGTAGGGAAGCAGTAGAATGAAACTCAGATTTGCCCACATTAACAAAAATTTAACAAAGCTTCCCCAAGACACCAGAATAAAACTTGACCTTTCCAGTCTAAAAGGCACAGAGAGGCCTCTACCATGTCCTGAAGTTGAATGAATTCAAAGATTGGCAATAAAGGAAAAAAGAAAGCATTATGGGTATGTTGGGAACAAGCTTTGGAGTTTTTCCAACAGTCACACCAAGTTTCTCCAGCACACGGGCACCCTTTTCTTGGTACTCTTGTTGGGTCATCCAAAAGTTGTCTCTGTCTTTCACGGTATCTGCTAGAACTGCACCACCCAGGAACACAATGTGCTTTCTGCTGGGTGGGTCTTCAATGCGGATCTTAAATTTAGAAAGTTTTTCCACATCACCTTTTAAAACTCATTCTAAGTAAAGCTGTTTTAAGTTCTCGTTCCAACCGTGAAGGCAGGCCAGGATACATAGCAGACCCTCCAGAAAACCCAATGTATTTGTAGGATTCAGATTTGGTATCAGTGTCAGCTGCCTGAATTGCATTAAAAAGCAATTCAGCAACACCAGCTCCTTCAACATTGATCAAGTGAGGCTGAAATAAAACTTCCGGTGCTTCAAATCTCTCTCTGCCGATTTTGATGACATGACCTTCTGGGAGTGTGTAAGATTCAACTAATACTGTGGTTTCTAAGGCCAGTTTCTGCTCTTGCTCGGTATTATATCCAATGTAACAGTTTTTCTTTAATCATGTGAACCGTTTCAAAATCAGCAGAGTGGTTGAAGGCATATCCCCCCAATAGAAGCAACCTGGTTCTATTTATATCCCTCCCAGCAATATCCGGTCTCCTGGTAAGATGAGGGACAGAAAAACCTTCATCTATTGGGCATGTGAGTCACACCATCTCCAGAGTCTACGGCTACATCGGTCAGTAAACCTTGAGTGTAGAGTCAGAACTATCTGGATGGCTACATACACACTGGAAAACTGCTAAGTTTCAAACATTACCTCTACAGTCTTCTGTTTTGGTTGGGTCCATAGCAGGTTCTGTGAGTAACAGTTTACAATTTCTGGTATCCATATTAAGTTTCTCTCGTCCAAACGTGTAGTTCCACAGGTGTTTCATGTCATTCCAATTTCCTACTATGCCATTTCCCACAGGGTAGTTAACTTCTAACATTAGTCGTAATTCGCTTGCCTCATCACCAACCATAAGATCCTTGCTCAGGGCTGGGCGCGGTGGCTCAAGCCTGTAATCCCAGCACTTTGGGAGGCCGAGACGGGAGGATCACGAGGGTCAGGAGATCGAAACCATCCTGGCTAACATGGTGAAACCCCGTCTCTATTAGAAAATACAAAAAAACTAGCAGAGTGAGGTGGCAGGCGCCTGTAGTCCCAGCTACTCGGGAGGCTGAGGCAGAAGAATGGCGTAAACCCGGGAGGCGGAGCTTGCAGTGAGCTGAGATCCGGCCACTGCACTCCAGCCTGGGCACAGATCAAGACTTCGTCTCAAAAAAAAAAAAAAAAAAAACAAAAAAATCCTTGTTCAATGTCTCCCACCTTGGTGGTTGATCTGATAACAGGTCTTCTAACCAAAGCTGGGATGATGTGTTCTGGAAAGTTAGAGCCTCCACATCCACACTTCACAAACCCGGTGCCATCGTCACACACCACCACCTTCCTGTCCTGGCTGTCCATCCTCTGCCAGGGGGAGAGCCGCTGCCACCCGGCCGTTTTCTCTTCTTCCTCCTCCCTCTCCATCTTTCGTTTCAAGTAAGTAGTCTTAATTTGTCCTCCTATAGAAAAAGTTTAAATCAGTTTATTATAAATACATCTAAACCATTAATTTTTGCAGCTTTCAGGTCAAGTCCACCACTTCATTTATACAAAGTCAATGAGAAGAGGTCAGTAGAGATCATCTAATCTTAAGTCAAGACATCACCCATTCAAGTCTTCGGCACAATCCCTCGCCAGTTAAGAGCACATCATGCCTGGATATGCCACTGGTGATCTTTAACAGAAGGTAGCTTCAAAAACTGGCCGATTTCTGCTACAGTCATGCATTCTTTAACATCTTGTTTATTAGCTAAACTCAGCAATCAGGCTTTTCTTAGGTCCTCAAGCACTAACATTTTAGAGTTCTTCTCTAGTTACAGAAATCCTCTCTCTGTACTTCCCACACTATTACAAACGCTATGTTAGTATAGTAGGTGTTCCAGAAAGAACGAAGAGATTCTTGGCCACCAATATCCCACGTTAGGAAACGTGTATTATTAATCACTCTCTTTTGTACATGACTTCCTCTTGTAGGAGATATATGTACAACTTCATTCATGGAAAACTGGTAGAGAATGGTAGTTTCCCTGCATTATCCAGCCCAACAACGAAAACTTTGTGCTCCTGGTGATGGAACAGTCTCCATGTTCTGGTGAAGAAAATTCTCATTCTCGGGCACGGACCCCCGCTCCAGACACCCGGGCCGCCTGGACTCCCCCGGCTCAGGCTGAGGGAGAAGAGAGAGAGGCGCTGGAGCCTCCGCCTCTGCTGCTGCTTCGGTGCTCGCCGCGGGCCCGCTTCCAGGGAACCGGAGGGAGGCCCTGGCCCAGGCCGCCCTGCTGCGCGCAAGGTCCGCCCGCTGTGGACGCGGCACTGGCCTGGCTCGCGGACATTGCCGCGACGTTGTCTGCGATGAGCCTCGTGGGCCAGCGCCCTCCCCCAGCTCCTCTCGGGCGGCTGCACCGAAGTAATTCTTTTTCCAACACACAAGGTCCCTCGTTTACCTAACAGGACCAAATGAAGTGAAAGCATGTTAAAACTGTAATCCACTACTCAAACATTACAAATGTAATTCACGCACATAAAGTTGAATCCATGCCACTCCACATGCAACGATGCAGTACTTTCAACGTTCAATTTTCTATGTCAAGTGTCCTATATAATTAAAAAACTATCAAGATTTCTCTTTTCTTTCATCAATGAGTTTGGTCTATTAAAACAACACAATAAACATAACAGACCATGTGACAGCTTCCCAACATCTTTCTATCTATAAAGTTTGTATAAGATTAAATCTCACAAGAAGAAATGTAAATATAAGTAAAATAGAAGAAATTTAAAAATCAAAACAGATCATGTAAGGGCTTGTGTAAAACTTACAAATGTTTCAACAAAGAATTATAGTTTGAGAATTTTAAACTGTTCACATGATATGCTTTGGAAGCAGCATATACTGGTAGACATATGACAGTGAATAAAATGATCGGGTAATATAAATGAAAAATGGCCTCAAATCGGTGGTAGTAAATAACCAATGTGGAAAACTGGATGGAGAATTAACTGCAATTATCTGTTTTAAAATAACTTCTAGATTTCTTATGTAACTCAAAGTAGAACTACCATTCGATCCAGCAATGACACTACTGGGTATCTACCCAGAGGAAAAGAGGTCATTACATGGAAAAGACAAATGCATATGCATGTTTATAACAGCACAACTCACAATTGCAAAAATATGAAACCCATCAACCATATGCCTATCAATTAAAAATGCCCATCAACCAATGAGTAGATGAAGAAAATATGGTATATATACACCGTGCAATATCAGACAGCCATAAAATAAAATGAAATAGCCTTTGTAAGCAACTTGCTGGCGGCAGCCGGAGGCCATTATTCTAAGTGAAGTAAACTCAGGAGTGGAAAACAAAGTATCATATGTTCTCACTTGTAAGTGGAAGCTAAGCTGTGAGGATACAAAGGCTTAGAATGATGTAGGACTTTGAGAACCCGGAGGGAAGGGTGGGAGGGGGTGAGGAATAAAAGAGTACATATTGTGAGTGCTGTGTACACCAGTCAGGAACGGGTGCACTAAAACCTCAGTAATCACCACTACAGAACTTACTCATGTAACCAAAAACCACCTGTATCCCAAAACTATTGAAAAATAAAAGACTCCTCGATGCAATAGGAAGGTATGCAACATAAAAAGAGTAATTGACCACATGTAGCTGAAAAAATAAAAAATGATTTTTAAACGCAAAATGAATGGTTGTTGTACATAAGGCATTAGTTTGTCATGACAGATACGAGTGTGATTCTATTCACATTGCATTGCTAGGGTGAAATAGACACAGACATCGTGCAGTTTGGGTGAATGTGGTATTTTTCTTGCCTAATTCAAACAGATCTTGTACAAGGAAAGATACTCTTATATAAAACCGAATTTGTTTCCACACATATTCCATTTACTCATAGTAAAGGAGACTGAAAATAGCGTTCACAAAATGTAATATAAACTATATAATAAACGTGACACGGTAAATTTGGAATTACAGTAATCAGAAACTTCAAATTGAAAGAGCAATGAGATGATTTCATGGCCTGTATTAGACAAGAACTAATGAAATTTATAGTATCTAATTGTAGTGTGAAGTATGGAAAAACTGGTACTGGTACTATTACACAAAATTAATGAAAATAAGATTTTTGCCAGGCGCAGTGGCTCACGCCTGTAATCCCAGCACTTTGGGAGGCCGAGGCGGGTGGATCACCCGAGGTCAGTAGTAGGACACCAGCCTGGCCAACATGGTGAAACCCTGTCTCTACTAAAAATATAAAAATTAGCCAAGCGTGGTGGCACATGCCTATAATCCCAGCTACTTGGGAAGCTGAGGCAGGAGAATCGCTTGAGCCTGGGAGGCGGAAGTTGCAGTGAGCCAAGATTGCACCACTGCACTTCAGCTTGGATGACAGTGAGACTCCATCTCAAAAAAAAAAGACCTATTTTAACATGCTCATTGATTTTGCATCAGCAATTCCAAATCTCAGAAGCTGTCAGAAGTATGCTTAATTGCCCATAGTGATATATGCTCAAAGGCACTCATTATAAGATTATTTATGGTGGGTGAAGATGAGAAAAACCCAGGCTATCTCTTGGCGGTGGTGAATGCCTTAAAACACAAACCAACAGAAAATAACACTTCCCAAGGGAACATTCTTACAGTGACTATGACCTAAAACTTGTGACATTCACCACTTCTAAAATATGTTGAGCATGTTTAATACATAGTTGCACTGTGAACTCATTAAATATTTGCAAAATTGTAAAAAAAAACGTATGAAAATAAAAGGAAAGGTTACAATATAAACAAACATAACTCACATTTAATTCACTGTTCTGATTAGCAGTGCAGTTATTTATATCGGTAATTGAGCTTAAGACTATATGCATGCTTTTTTTTCTTTCATATTTTTATTTTTAAAATAAAACCGAATATATTTAAGTGAACAGCTTGTTTTAATTCATATATATTAAAACCTTCATATGTATTTATATATATACATATATACATATAAATAATTACTACAGTCAAACTAATGAACTCATCTATCTTCTCATATGGACAACAGCATCTGAAATATACTCACTTTGCAAATTTCCAGTATACAGTATTATTAACTATAATCACATAACTGCAACTTTGTACTTTTGACCTACAGATCTTCTTTTCTCCCATCTCCCTGTCTCTGGTAACCACCATTCTACTACCCTGCTTCCATGTATTAAACTTTTTAAGACTCTGGCCGGGCCCGGTGGCTCACACCTGTAATTCCAGCATTTTGGGAGGTCGAGGCGGGTGCATCACCTGAGGTCAGGAGTTCGAGGCCAGCCTGACCAACACGGAGAAACCCAGTATCTTAAAAATACAAAAAATTAGCAGGGCATGGTGGAACATGCCTGTAATACCAGTTACCGTGGAGGCTAAGGCAGGAGAATCGCTTGAACCCGGGAGGCGAACATTGCAGCGAGCTGAGATCGCACCACTGCACTCCAGACTGGGCAACAAGAGTGAAACTCCGTTTCAAAAAATAAAAAATAGAAACAAAATAATACTAATAATAATGGAAGACCTACCTCAATACCCCACTGTGATCAACACACCACTATAGTCAATGGGCAGATCAGACAACAAAAAATCATCAGATAAGCTGTACTCTATATCGAACGGATCTAACAGAAATTTACACAGGTTTGCATGACGCCACGACTTCACAATGCACATTCCACTCAGTAGCACATAGATTATTCTCCAGGACAGGCTGTGTGTTAGGACAAAAAGCAAGTAACGGCACATTTTTAAAAACTGAAATCATATCAAAGTATCTTTTTTGACCACAGTGGAATACTACTAGAAATCTGTAACAGCAATAACTTTAAAAACTGTACAAATATATGAAAATTAATATACTTGCTCATGAACAACAAATGAAAAAATTAAAAATTCATTGAAACGAGTAAGGGAAATTAAAAATTAATTGAAACAATAGAAACACAACGTAAAACCTGTCGGATGCGACAAAAGCAGTTGTAAGAGGCAAAGTGCATAGCTATAAATGCCGAATCAGAAAAGTAGAAAGATCTCAAATAGTCAACCTGATAGTACACTTCAAGTAATGAGAAAAGCAAGAAAAATCAAACGCTAAAATTAGTAGAGAGAAATAAATCAAAGATTAGAGAAGAAATTTTAAAAATAGAAACTAAAAAATTACAAAAAGACAAAGGAACAAAGAGCTGCGGTTTTTTTGGAAAAAAAAAAAATCAAAATTGACAAGGTATAATGAGCCTAGGAAAAAGAGAAAGAAAACTGCAGTAAAATCATAGATGAAAAAGGAGACATTACAGTTGATTACACAGAAACACAAAGGATTATAAGAGATTACTAAAAACACCTATATACAAACGAATTGAAAAACCTAGGAGATAATGAATACATTTCTGAAAACAGCAATTTCACAAGCTGGAATAACAAAAAACCTTAACAGATTAATAAAGTAATGCAATTAAAGCAGTAATAAAAATCTTCCATCAAAGAAAAACACAAGAATTACGGTTTTACTGAATTCTACCAAACATTTTTTAAAAACGTAATGCCAATTTTACTCAAAATATTCCCCAAAAAATGAAGAGGAAGGAGTAATTCTAAACTTGTTCTATGAGGTCAGCATTACCCCTGCTACAAAAACCAGACCAGGACACGACACAGAAAGAAAACCAAAGGCAAATATCTCTGGTGAGCACAGATTCAAAAAATCCTCAACCAAATACCTGGGGATTCATCGGAGGAATATGAGAATGATTCAACAAACACAAATAAATAAATGTCATACATCACAGCGAATCAAGAACAAAAATCACATAATCATGTCAGTGGATGCTGAAAAAAATAAAATTCAACATTCTTTCATGATAAAAACTCAAAATGAGTACAAAAGGAACATAGCACAATGAAGGCCATATATGGCAAACTCAGAACTAACATCGTAATCAAGGGGGAAAAGTTAAAAGCTCTTCCTCTAAGATCTTGAACAAGTGTGGCTACTTTCACCACTTTGATTCATCATGGTACTGGGAGCCCCAGCCAGAGCAATTACACAGGAGAATGCAATAAAACCCATCCAAATTGGGAAAAAAAGTCAAATTGTCTATGTTTGCAGGTTACATGATCATATACACATAGAGAACCCTAAAGAGTCCACAAAAAAACCTACGAGAAATAAATTCAGTAAAGTTGTAAGATACAACATCAATATACAAAAATGAGTAGCACACACAGCAATAGTGAAACACATACGAAAGAAATCAAGAAAGCTGTTTCATTACAGTAACTACCCACCCCCTCCAAAAAAAAAAAAACAAAAAACAAAAAACAAAACAAACAAAAAAAAACCAAT